CATACCCGCTATAGACACCTCTAAAGAATAGTTTTGTGTTGTTCCGCAGCCTCTGCTCCTTCCTGTGACCACTTCTCTCCATCCTTGTTGTTTTCCTATAGCAAAAAATCTTCCTAAAAACTCAGCCATCCCTAACCTGGTGACCTCCTACTACCCCAACCACAAATATGCCAAGTTCCCTACAGTACACCCAGATTGCAAGCCCTAACCTTGCCCTTCCAACCGAAGTTCCACTCTCCCCAACTCCCTCCATATTAGTAGTTTGTCATAATCCCATCCCCTTCTCCTGTAGCCAGTCGAGGCCGCTCTCCTCTTGCACTATCACAACCTCCCTGCTGCCTGCTGCCCTCCTCACAACATCCACCCCTACTCCAACCATCCTTCCTGTCACAGCCAACATCCCTAACCGACTGCCCTTCCATCACAGTCGACCTTCCAGCTCTATCATAACTTCCCATCATCCTGACAATTAACTGCAGCCACCTAAACCCCTTCCAACTGTGTAACCAACCACCACCCTTTTTGATACAATCCTAATAGTGCTTGTGACACGGGAGCGAAGACGATGCTGGAGCTTCCAGATCCCTGTGGGAGCAACCAGATCACACGAACACGACAATTGTTGAACGGACTCGAGTTGTTCAGGGTGTAATCGGGATCCGGCGGTCCTCCTTAGCACATGGTTCTCTCTTATTTAGAGTGGAGCCCACTCATCTAAACCCTAAAACTATTTATATGTTATTCACAATGTTTTAGGTTAGTTTTAGTTTAGATTTATGTCAGAACAACGGTTGACGTCCATGTTTTCCCTTCTATGATGTATCCTACAATGAGTGGTACTCCGACTGCATCTTGTTCGAGGTGGTGAATATTTTCAACGTTCCCACTCACCTGTAACCCTCGTGCCATTGCCACAGTCGTATTTGCTACAACTACCGGAAAACATCCACATTAATGTTTTCCTACAACTATCTACAGCCTCTCTAACCCTCCAAAACTGTCGTCCCCTTGTCACCAACCCTTCTCCTTGCCGTCGTCATCCCGAGGACAGCCTGCGCGCTGGCTTTCAGCTATTCCAGCCCTCCTATTGTTGTCATCGCTGTCCCAACTATCCCAGCATCCTCCTCCGCCTCC